AGAAAAGTGCGGCACCCCGACTGCAGCCGACATGTCGGCGCCAACCGACCGACCGGTCGGCGGGTTGGCGGCCGACGGATCGGGGGGCGCCGACAGTCGGCACGTGCAACACTGCTTTTAACTCTAAAGGTACTAACTTCTTATCTTCTTTTGCCTACCTACCCGTTACGTGAATACTTCACAACCTACGCGGCCCTAGCCTACTTCTAAATCCCACTGCGACACAATACACCTAGCGCTCACCCAAAACTGCGCGTGCAAATGAGGAAGAACTTTCCACTCTCTCGCACGATATGTCGGACTACTGCCTCTTCGGGCGGTGACTTTCCAGGCCACATGGCCTTCCCAAGCTGCTGGTACCTTTCCCATTTTGGAGGGAAACATCATTGCAGTTTGATATCCCCTCCTGCAGACTCTAGACTCGGGCTACTTGGACCGGTACCTTCCCTTCTAAGCCTACCGGACTCTAAATTCACTTTTGCCTCTAAGGGTACTAACTTTTTGTCTTCTTCTGCCTACCTACCCACTACTTGAGTATTTTACAACCTATGCTGGCCTAGCCTACTTCTAAATCTCACTGCAACACAAAAGCACGGCCACAGGTAGGTACCAGGCTCGGGGGCCTTCTCAGCACACAAGTACCCTGGCGGGTCAGACACACACCCAAGCAATCATCCAGTCAGGCAAACACACGGAGACTCAACAATCATGCACACACACGTACTTAGAGATCTCATCAGAATACGGGAATCTCAACAAGTTACTCAGTCCAGCGGCAAAGCTCAGAAGACAGTCTCAATTGGTGAATTTGCAGGTCATTCATTCACAAATGGTTAACGGGGACCCTTTGGTTTTCATATAAATGGCATGGCAAGTGGTCTGAAAATTAGGGTCTCCGTTAACCTTCTCTCCATTCATTACCCTCCCCTCAAGAGCGAGGTCCCTTTGAGCGAGTACACTCATCAGAGTCCCCACAAAATGCCTCGTAGGCTGTGAATGCAAAGGTTGTTGTTGTCTGTTCATAAGCAGTGAGATGATCAGTGAACGCTCGTGTCTGGTCGGAAGCAGTATGGCATTCATATGCATTAACTGCATGGGGTGCAGTCTTGAGTACTATTTTGAGTAGGACTTTCTGAGATATCCAATACAGTTCGTTTAACGAATGGTATGAAAAATGACCCTTGTACTGTTTGTCCTTGACCTTACCTTTGTGTTCAACAGTTCTATCGGCTTCGTGACTGCCATCAATATCACGAGGGATCATAGGAGCAAGGTCAGGAAAGGAAGTAGCAGCAGTATACGAATACAGTTTAGAAGCATGAAAGACTGGGTACGTGCGCATATGAGGTTGCACATGAATCACATATGGAGGACCGAAATCATAATCTCCCACAACTTTTAGATTTTGCCAAGGGCCATAAAGTAGTAAGAGTGGTTGAAAGGACACTCCTCCATCTGAAAACTTAGACATCTTCACCCAAACATATCTCCTTCTTTTCAGCTCAAAGTCATAGACATCAATCTCATGCAACCATCAGAACAATGTTATGGTTAAGTTAGTTTGCGACTTGATCCACTGTAAGGTCTCACGATTTGAGGAAACCTTGAAGTGGCATCCCAAAAGGTAGTGCTACCAATAATCCAATGCCTCCCTTAAGGCATAGAGCTCACGCATATATGTGGAGCTAGCTACATTATTCTTGGGCATGCGTGTGTTGTAGTACTTGAGCGAACGCAGTCCATCGCTATCATCTTGTTGCAGCACTGCGCCGATCCCCTATTGGCTCGCATCCGTTGTGACTACAAATGTGAGTTTGGGATCCGCAATGCGTAGTACAAGATGACTCACCAGAGCCTCTTTCAAGGACTCAAAGGCAGTTTCACACGCATCACTCCAAGTGTAGGATACATTCTTGTTTGTTAGTCTAGACAAGGGGTGAGCAATGATAGAAAACTTGAGGTCAAACCTCTGGTAGTATGAGGCTAAACCAAGGAAAGATCGCAGTTCGCGTACATTCACCAATCGAGGCCAATTGCGAATGACCTCAACCTTGGTTGCCTCAGGCTCAAGGCCTGGAGCACACAATTCGTGCCCAAGATAGATGACACTCTCTCTCCCAAACTCAAACGTCTCCAAGTGAGGTGCAATTGTTCCTCCCTCAAAGTCCCAAGGACTTCCTTTAGATGTTTTAGGTATTCATCCATGCTTTTGCTGGACCGTGTGTTCAGAAACGCGCGGGATTCGTAAGGCGGGCCTTAGTGCAACTAGAAGAACTACAAGAAACAACTAAATTTAACCCCATATCTAGTAATGCTTCTAGCAGGTTTTGTCGTGCCTTTCTTTTACTTACTTGAAGTTACTTCTATCCTTGAGGCTCTACTTAGCCATTTACTGCCTTCTGAGAATGCCTTTGGTAGTACAGACGTTGCCCCTATGGTGTCCAAATCTTGTCTGTGAGCTTCCCATTCTTGTTTTACTCTTTTGGGCTCTACTTTTACTAGAGAGTTGTTTACCTTGAAAAAAACTTTTTCCTTGGTAAGTATATTAAATATATCTATATGTATAGACCTTCTATTTCGATACATAGCTAATAACATAGCTAATGCAATTGCTGCTTCTGCTGCAGCAATTGCAATCATCAAACATATAGTAACGTATATGAAATTGAATCCATGCTTGTCCTTAGGAAAATAGTAAAGAAGATAGGCATTGTACTGACTAAACCTCCATAATATTTAACAAGTCGGGTTTTATGTCGATCATATAAAGCACCTACACATAAAAAAAGGGTTGAAAAAAACAGTCCATGACTTAACATGAGTAAAATACATCCTTCAATTCATTGCATATTCAATAGAGTGAAACTTCCCCACTGAGCAAAACATTCCTTGGGTGTTGTTCAGGGTGAAGGTTAAGTTCGGTCCCCTATGGTTATGATCAAAATCTCCATAGCAAGCGGTTTCAAAGGTTTTCAGTACTTTTTACATCTTTCGTTGCTCGTATTGAATTGGAGATAGGAAAATAAGTAGTCTATTATGGAGAAAGAGTAGTGACCTTTTTCTACATGTGAAGCTCTCATTGATGGGTTTCAGATTCTATGTTCTTTTCTGTCAAAAATGATGTTTTTGGATGTGCGTCCATTTCATGTATTTCTCTGCCATGGGGCGGGGGCCCAGCGCAGCCAGGCTGCACGCAAGGCAATCAGGCCACTTCCATTTAGGAAAGGGCCTGCACACGCATTCGACATTCGGGCACTGACTGCATGCTGCGCAAGCGCTGCTGCGCTAACGCTGACCAGTGCTCACACGCTCATGGGCGAGCTGGAAGGAGCAGGCAGCCATAGCCGAGCTGCGCTGCTGTATGTTGGATGGGGCGCATGGTGGTCCAAGGGTGCATGTGGCAACTGTGAGTTGGGGAACGAGGTCGTGAGTGATACGAGAGACATACCTGGTGCTTGACGCATACGGCATTGGCCGAGATCTCCTCATACTTCGGGGAGCTGTTGACGTCATCGTCGGCATTGTAGATTAGGCTAGATAGGATCTGCCATCTGTAGTCTGGGCGCCAAGCGCCAGATAGGATATCGACATTGGTTCTTCGTTGATGATGATGAGACTATTCCAGCATTGTCAATTATGAGCTTTTGCTGTGTTCTTATTTGGTGGAACTCGTGATGCAATTCTGCTCTTGGTTCGAGGTCACGACTATGTGGTCTCATGTGTATGATGCTGTTTGATTTCTGAAGTTCGCTATCCCTCATTTTCCTTGCAATTTGGTATCGGAGTCGTGGTACGGTGCGCTCATCTGGCGCTTGTCTTCTGTCTTTGCAGTACATGCACGCGGTCTGCTGGGCGAGGGGTCGTGGGAGGTGTGTAGTGAGGAGGGTGGAGACAACTGAGGCGACCCAGGAGGTGAGGGTTATCGCCGGAAGGCCACTAAGCGGTGAATATTGGGTGTTCGCAGTGTGATGAGAACTAGCCAATGTGTGATTCAGGTGGAACGGTGGTGCAATGCTGGTTGTGACGAAGCGGCGATTGTTCATCACAATCAACATCGGGTCATCTGGTGAGAATATTTGTGGTTGGGGGCAGCTATTTTGAGGTACGTTGCACCTAACCTTATCTACCCTCTTCGACACTTCTTACCGTGAGGATGTGTGTTCTGTCTTGAGAGTCCTCTCATGTGAGGAGTCATGTGCACTCAACCTTGAGAGTCGTCAGTCTTCACGTGGAGCATTTGGAAGGAGAGGGTGGTGCTATCTGAAGGGCCCTGGACGAAGCACTGGGTCACAGTCACCATGCCAACCCACCGGGAGTGGAGAGCACGCATGCTTTGCTCCTTTGCCCTTCGTCTGCTCGTTTCGCTGTAGAGGGGTTCTGAAGGGCAGGCCAGCCCTATGGGACAGACGAGACCGGGCGTCTATAAATAAGCATCGGTGGGGTACCTTCCATTGGCTGTGATCATCGTCTTGTTTGCTACGTCAAATAATTCCTGAGGACTTCGGGGGTCGTCCATAAAAACGCCTCCTGATTAGCCAAGTGGTCCGTGTAAGGCTCGCTGCACGCGAGGATAAAGACTGTGCAGGGCTGGCCAGCTCAGCGGGACTCGAGGCACAGGGGCGGGCCGTGTGCACACCTTTAGACACGCACGCTGTCCGGATTGCTCAGGGACCTTGACGACAAGAGACATTCAGGAAGAACTGAGGGAGGGGTAAATTCCAGGTGATAAGTTTGGGCAAGATTCCATTATGCAAATAGACCCAACAAATGATTCTATTTTTATTTTGATCAGTTAGATGTACAACCATTAACATCTGACAGACAACATAGTTAGAACTGTGTTCTGTTCATTGTGCTTTCTGTTTGCGGAGTAGTCAAAGTAAAATAGTTTTCGTTTGTAGGAATCTGAACTTACCTGTTGAACCCGAATGTATAGTCTCTGACCTAGCCATCGATTAATTAGTTTATTTTAAATCGGTCTGTGCATGACGCTGCGGTAGGCATTGAATGAGTGTCCTAGTGTAGACGGTGTGCAGTTTTGTAGTTTATGAGCAACAGGGAGGTCCCACAACCGGACGATAGGCTTTTGCGATTGGCAAGACGCCCTATAGCCCACTTGGCATTAGGACCAGAGGGTGACAAATTTATGTTCCGCCAGTTTAGGGAGAGACGGCAGCAACAGCAGAGAGCTAGGGCAGCAGAGGCCAGCAGGGCATTCGCAAGCGAAACCGTTGTTTCAGCAGCCATGGCAACTGCTGTGCAGCAGAGTTCCCAGGCCAGCAGTTCAGGGTCAGTAGGGTCAACGGTTGCACAAACCCTGAGTCAGTCCACTAGCGTCATGGCAAGCCAACCATTAGTGATTACTCCCGATAAGTTTGTCATCGTGTACCTCAATGACATACTTATTTTTAGTAGGACTGTCGGGGAACATGTTGCACACTTAGACAAAGTCCTCAGTCTCCTTCGACAACACAAGTTCAAGATCAACGGGGAGAAATGCGAGTTTGGTCGCACCCGGATCTTGTACTTGGGTCATGAGATTTCCGCGGAGGGTTTGAAGCCCGATGACGCAAAGGTGGCCAACATTCGTGACGGGCCGCGTCCTCAGTCTGTGACTGAGATGAGGTCTTTCTTAGGGATGACCGGCTACTACCATAACTTTGTTAAGAACTATAGTATAGTGGCCGCCCCTTTGACTGACCTGACTCGCCTTGACACCCCGTGGGAGTGGACAAACAGGTGTGAGGCTGCTTTCAGACATCTGAAGCATGCGTTGGCACACAATGAGGTCTTAAAACTTCCTGATCTTGACAAGTCATTCATAGTAACCACGGATGCCAGCCAATATGGCATTGGTGCCGTGCTCGCGCAACAGGAGGGGCCAAAGTTGAGGCCAATCGAGTACATGTCCAAAAATATGTTGTCTCATAAGTTGGGGAAGTCCACTTATGAGAAAGAGCTCTACGCGATTTACAAAGCACTGACCCATTGGAGGACTGATCATCAGACCCTGAAGTGGATGAGAACCCAACCAGTACTTTCTGATGCCTTGAAGCGCTGGATTGAAGTCATTGAACATTATGACTTCGAACCCTAGTATCTGAAGGGGGAGTACAATAAAGTTGTTGATGCCTTATCACGTAGGCCTGATTTCTCTGGTGCGCTGATTACTGAATTCGGGCTTGCGGACAATATAACTCGCTCTTTGGTGGAAGCCTATCGCGAGGATCTGTTTATGTCTGAGATCATTCGCAGACTCGAGGCGAAGGACAAAGTGACTGTGTCGAGTTTGAGTTGGTCAACGGCTTGCTGTTCCTTGAGAAGGCCGGGAATAAACGTTTGTGTGTGCCTAATCGGGAGTCTTTGCGTAGTTTATTTTTAGGAGAGTGTCATGACGCCACATGACATTTTGGATATAAGAAGACTGCAGCCAATCTGCTGCAGCAGTTCTGATGGCCCACAATGATGAGAGATGCCAAGCTGTACGTGGAAACTTGTCAGGTCTGTCAAAGAGACAAGCCCCGTACACAGGCCCCTCTTGGGCTTCTCAAGCCCCTTCCAATTTCGGAAAGGCTTGGTTCTCGCCTGTCCATGGACTTCATGGACACGCTGGTCACCAGCAAGAGTGGGATGAGACACATCTTTGTTATCGTGGATAGGTTTAGTAAGTACGCTAGGTTAGTTGCAATGCCGGAGACAGCGAAGACTGAGTATATGATTAGACTCTTCAAGGAGAACTGGGTCAGAGACTTTGGGCTCCCAAAGTCTATTGTTAGTGACAGGGATGTCAGATTCACAAGTGAGTTGTGGAAGGCTGCAGCTGCAGAACAGGGTACACAGCTGCAGATGACCTCCGGGAACCACCCAGAGGCAAACGGCCAAGCAGAGCAACTGAACCGCGCCGTACAACACCTGTTGCGGCACTACATCAAGCCCAATCAGGTGGACTGGGATGAGAAACTTATTCTCATCGCCAGTCTGTACAACAACGCTGTGCACAACGCCACTGGGGTGAGCCCTAACAGTCTGCTACTGACGTTCAAGCCTAGACTGCCTCTAGACTTTCTACTACCTGAGAACCAGTTAACTGCTGCACCAGGCACATTAGAATTTGCCTATCGATAGGAACAATTGATGCAGCATGCAGTGGAGCAAATGCACAAGGCACAGGCGGCAATGACAAAGTCCGAGAACAAACACCGCCGCCCGTCTACATTTCAGGTAGGGGACGGAGTCTGGGTAAAGTCCTCAGAACTGGGACAGGAGCACGGGATCTCCCGCAAGCTCATGCCACAGTACTTTGGACCATGGGATTGTTGAAGAAGATCCAGATGGGCCGTCATATGTAGTTCAGATCCCTGGTCACCTACGCGCTTACCCTGTATTCCACGCCTCCAAGCTCGCACCTTTTAAGGAAACTGACCAGTTTCCCTCTCGTCGTTCAATGCTGCCCCAAACCATGGACGAAGAAGTCGACATCGATGACATCGTGGATCACAGAGAAATGCCAGTTCCAAAACCTACCGGCAAGGGACGTCCTCCGAAACCGAAGCTGCAGTACCGCGTTCGGTTCAGACATCACACTGATCCTAAGGAGAATAGATGGTTTACACGGGAGGAACTGACGCAGACCCCTCCACAGGTTGTCGTCCACTACGAGAAGTTACTACAGAAAGGAAAGTGTAATGAACCCAAATCGTGATGACACTTGTTGATAATGCCAGCCCACAAGTTGTCATCCAGCTGATGAAATATCAATAGTTGAAATTGTTACCAGATACAAAGAGATGGATAATCATTCACAGACGAATAAGCAAGAGATTAGGAAAGTAGACTTAGAGGGTGGAAATACCCTCTTCTACTTCGGGCTCTCTTCCCAATGTCGCCACCTCAGCAACAATGATCAGAACAGTATCTGAAGTTCTCCTCAATGTGCCATATAGCACGTCAATAAGTCAATCATCAGCGCTGGAGCATCATCAACCTCAAGATAAACAGGTACGTATCTTTGATCCTCCCACAGTCATGATCTCCTCCTGAATACGACGAATCAGAACAGCTGTATCTCTCCAATGTAGCCGCCACATCAGCATCGAATACACGTGGCAGCGGCCATGTCAGCAGCAAATCGTGGCAGCGGCCATGTCAGCAGCAACGCGTGGCAGCTGCCACGTCAGCATACCAAGTAGACAAGAGCAAGCCAGCCATCATGCCTGGCGAGCGGCGCGTCACTGTATCTCGCAAGTGCCAGCCAAAAACTAGCGTACAGCCAGCATCTCGGCATAGAGCCAGCGTCGTCGTCAAAACAGAAAGTCAGCCTTGACGCAAGACTGAATGAATGTCAATGCCGGGAAGTCAGCCCTTATATATTGTTGACTCGGGGGCTAGGCCTCGGATGCTGCCTCCCTCAGTCGTCCAGATCTCAATGAGGACGAGGGCTCAGATTATTCCGAAACTGAATCTTCTCTGGCCTGGATGCTGTCTGGGTACCTGCACACCACAAGTGAGTGTATCTAGCCAAGGGCCTGGGCCTGGTACCTTTTGACTCTACAGTGGACTTTGACCTTTGAATTTCCATATGCAGCGTTCGGTCTCACAGCCGGACGCAGTAGTCTGTGGCCTGGGCAGTGCCTGGTCACACAACCCAGCGCAGAACAGTAAAGTTTTGCGTGGCCTAGGGCGGATCTGAGCCCCGTACAGCCTTTGCTGCACATTCTCGGAACAGGCTCACTTCGACTCTCGAAGACCAATGCACATGACGTCAGCACCATAGCCAACCTCTTCCATGTACCAGGTATGTATCTCACTTCCCCTCATCAGACCCTGTCCACCCACACTCGCCTCCTTCCTGAAGACCACCAATCGCCCTCTTACCCCCTAGCGCCCTGCAGCCCGGGTATGGCTGCTAGCGCTCCGCTGCCCTATAGCGCCTCACTTCACCACACAGGCGCCCGCACGTGCTCTGGCCTCAGCTCAGCACGCAGCCTCTAACGCGGAAGCGCAGCAGCGTGACCGCATTGCCTGCGCGGGCCAGAATACCCCAGCCCTGGCTGCCCTTCTTCCTATATGGAAGTGGCAGCCCCTGCGTTGTTGCGTGTGGCCTGGCTGGAAGCTTCCAGTAGCTTCCTGTTGGGGCCCAGTACCTGTGCCCAGACCCGAGACTATAGCTGAGGGACTGGGCCCTCTACAGTTGGGCACGGCCTCGGTCTCCAGACTTGGGCCGTTTGCTGAATTGGCACAGGACCCCGGGGTAGGTGCGTCAACAGTACTGCTTTTGCATAGGCCTGTGGCCACTTGAAGATGTTGTGTGTATGTGCCCAGGCGCAACCACCAAGGCTTGGGCCAACTGTACGACCCAGCTTAGTGAGGCTCACGTGTCCACTCAACCAACTGTCATGCTGCAAGGGCCTGCATACCCACATACGAAAAATGTCGAATTTTGGCCTTTGATGAATATTCAGGCCCACCTTCACTTAGGGCGGGCACTCGGCTTGCTTAGGGCCTCTGCCCAGAACATGTGTATGTCTGATAGGGGCCCCGTGAGGGCTCGTTCCTTGCATTCCATCCCCCTTAGCTTCGAAAGTCCATTGAGATGCTTCATGCTGGTGCCTTCCCCTTCAATTTCCTCTCATACTCGTCCACGATCTGAGGAGATGTCTTGACCAGTTCCTCCCTTGTAAACCATCAATCTTCCTTAGGATCCGTATGACGCCTGAACCGTATTATGTTTTCTCTCACAGGTTTAGGCAGCCTACCCGTGCCAACTGGCTTGGGAATAAGCATGTCTCTGTGCTGCAGGAGATCGTCGACGTCCACGTGGCCATCCATGGTTGGGGGCAGCATAGATCTCCGTGATGGGAACTATTCTGTCTAAGTGAAAGGTGCGAGCTTTGAAGCGTGAAACGCAGGTAAGTGCGTTGGTGACCAGGGATACGAATCAAGCACGAGGGACCATCCAAATCATTACCCACAATGTCTAAGAGTTCCTAGGGACCGAAACACTGAGGCATTAGTTTTCTAGAGATGCCAAACTCTTGTCCCAACTCACTCGCCTTGACCCAGACACGTTCCCCTACCTGAAATGTGGACTGTCGGCGATTCTTGTTCTTAGAAGCAATCATGGCTTCCTGAGATTTCTTGATGTGTTCGATAGTCTGCTGCAACAATTTCTCATACTGGACACCAAATTCAATAGTTCCAGGAGCTGCAGCAGTTTGGTTTTCAGGCAGGAGGAAGTCTAGAGCAGATCTAGGTTTCCACCCCAGGTGTAGTTGATTAGGGCTAATGCTGGTGGTGCTATGTACAACGTTGTTGTGCAGACTGGCGATGAGAGGTAACTTCACATCCCAATCATTATGGCTGGGCTTGATATAGTGCCTCAACAGATGCTGCAGCACACGGTTCATTTGTTCGGCCTGCCCATTTGCTTCGGGATGATTCCCAAAAGTCATTTGAAGCTGGCTGCCCATCTGTTCAACAGCCTTCTTCCACATCTCACTAGTGAACCGGACATCTCTATCACTAACAATGGTCTTTGGCAGTCCAAAGTCACGCACCCCGTTGTCCATGAACAACTTGATGACGTGCTCAGTCCTGGCAGTCTCCGACATGGCGATTAGTCTAGCGTACTAGTGAACCTATCCACTATGACGAAGATATGCCTTTTGCCATTCTTGCTGGTCACGAGGGTATCCATGAAATCCATGGAAACACTCTGTCCTGGACCAGCAGGAATGGGTAGAGGGGCTTCAATAACCCAAGCGGGGCTTGAGTTCGCGGCTTGTCCCGCTGATAGACTTGGCAAGTCTGCACATATTTCTTTGCAACGTCCAACATGTTAGGCCACCAGAATCGTTCTACTAGGTTAGAAGATGTCTTCTTGTAGCCGAAATGTCCCGTTGTGTCATGGCACTCACCTAAAAATAAACTACGCAAAATTTCTCTAGATGGAACCACTAACCTTTTAAATCTTGCCTTCTCAAGAAAGAGCAACCCATCCACCATCACAAACTCATCAGATGTGGCCTTGTCCTGGGCCTCGAGTTTGTGAATGATGTCCATCGTGACAAGGTCTTCCTTGTAAGCCTCCACCAAGGATCGAGTGACATCGTCAGATAAGCCAAACTCAGTAATCAGCGCACCTCGGTAGTCTGCCCTACGTGACAATGCATCAACAACCTTGTTATACTCTCCTTTCACGTGGTCTAGCTTGAAGTCATACTGCTTTATGACTTCAATCCAGCGTTTGAGTGCATCCTAGGGAACATGTTGTGTCTTGATCCACTTGAGTGTTTGATGGTCAATTCTCAAATAGAAGAACCGTCCCAACAGATATTGTCTCCAGTGGACAAGTGCCTTGTAGAGGGCGTATATTACGGACTCAGGCAGGGCTCGATCCCTGGTCTGCGGGTTACCACCCGCCAGGCTGCTATTCTATTTTTATTTTTTTTAATTTCTTGAGTCTCTGATCTCCGGTTCCTGACTGTTGGCGCCCGTTCTCAAATTCCGCCTTTGGCACTTTCGGATTTCGATACTTGGCGCCATCCAACATTCTGGCGCCCAGGCTCAGACCTTCAATTTTCAGTTCAGCCCCAAGGCAAATTGCACTTCTGCCCTCGGACTCAACTTAAGTCCGGTGCTTAAGACCGGACCCAGCTGAGTTCGGGGATTCACTTTTCAGCATCAGTGCTTGTGCTTCAGTGTGACTCGCTGCGACATTGTGTTCGGAACCAAGATTGCGACTTTGCGACTTTGCCACTTTGCCACTTTGTGTCTGCGTCCGTCGAGTCGTGTCGAGTCCATGGCGAGTCGAGTGAGTGTGTGTGTGTGCTCTCACTCCCTCCCTCTCTCTTCCCCGGCCTCGGTGCTCTGCCTCCGCCCCGTCACACTGGTATCGGAGCGACGTCGATCGCCCTCTCGCCCACCCAAATCGACGTGGAGCAGCCGCCGCTCTAGGCCTTCATCGTCATCATCATCTTCGTCATCCACGTTGCCGCGCCAGCCCCGTTGTCGCAATCTTCGACTCCGACATTGCCTTGTCATCATCGTCTTCATCAGTGCCTCATCGTTGCCACGCCAGCGTCATCATCGCCTCATTGTCGTCGCTGCCACGTCAGCGCCTCGTACCTGTCGTCGCCGCCATCGCTATGTCAGCACCTCGCTGCCTTCGTCGTCGCCGCTGCCACGCCACCGATCCCGAAGCCGACGTGCA